TCAATAATAGATATCATTTAATAGTGAACATTGCATTTCAGATAGCTCCAATATGGAAAGTCTAGATAGTTCCGGCATATCATACGGAATGGATGAAACTACCGTACTATTTGACAATGTAACCACTACGGTTGTCATTCCACTTGAGGTCAGAGCTTGAATGAGCCTGTCTATTACTAGTTAAACGATTAGTAGATTGAACCTATAATCAAAAAATCACTGGTTTTCAACTTTATAAGTTTAGAGCAATCATGAGACTCTGATTTGATCAAAACATCATACACAGATTTTGTATGAAGACTATTCACCTCACATTTTCCATTTTAGAAAGAAATGACTAGTAAAGCAACATAGTAATAAACGAACTAAAAAATGTTGTCCATAAAGCTTAAGAATGCAGAAAAGAAGGTGTGTAACTGTATAATTCCTTGCTTTTTTAGGGTAATATGGGTTTGCTGATGAACGATTCACTGAGCACTGACAATTTGCAAACGATTGAAGTCGTACCGATAGTTGCAGCGGGAATTGTATTCGGCACCTTAGTAGCTATTGGCACCGTTGCAACCGCTGTATTTATCGCTGTGCTGATTAGAGGAAGGAAAAAATTTGCAGAGGTAAGGGGGATTTCATATACGGATAGATCCTGAGTTAGTTAATTATTTATTAATTTTCGACACAATTACTCTTAATTTTTGATGTGATTTGTCAGCACAATTAAGTTTTTTTGAACGTTTGAATCTATAAAATGCTGCCAGTGTAACGTATATCCATAGAATTTTTCAACATCTATACATTAGAGATTCATACAATTTTCAGTTCCCGTTCTTCATATTAGTATGGCATTTGACTGTTGCAAACATGATTCATATGTTGATGGTCGTTTCCACTATTATGCCAATTATGCTTATCGAGGTTTGTTGATTATTCCACTGCAAAATTTATTTGAAGGGATTCCTCATCCATAAAATGCATAAAGTAACTTTGAAAATTAGATTAAGATGAATTAAGCAGAAAAATAATTTGTAAAGCCTTCCTTGTTACTTGTACATGTACAAGTTCCCTCAAAACGTCTCCCGAATCAAAGGATGGATCTACTCTATCCCGGAATTTCTAGTTCACTTATTTTGTGTCTGCATCTCTGTAGTTTTGATCTTGGTTGACACATTATACAAAACTATTAGTAACCTTCCTTTACGAAAGAAATTAAAAACAAACGATTCCCAGTCATCCATTTATGAAAAAAGGTTTTGCAAGTTCCTCCTCTTGTTCTTCACTCCCACTACAAGTCTATAATTTGAGTAACTGTCTGCCTTGATTAATAATGGCATCAAGTTCTCATATTTGTCAATTAGGCGCATATCAGTCGCTATTTTGCAGACGTTTTAGCTTTGGGGATAGGCAGTTGGCAAGGTGAACAGCTTTGAACTTTTATTCGTTTTACATGCATCTATCAAGTTACTTACGACACACGCTATAAGTCTTCCAT